TGGAGGTAGGACAGGTGACTGGGAGGTCCAGGCATACTGTCGTGGTCACTTGTAGTAGTGTAAAGTTTGGACTTGGGTCCAGAAGTTTTTTTAAAAAAAAACATTTTTTTAGAAAAATTGCGTGGCAAGTAGTTTTGTCATTGGTTACTTAAATTTCTATTGTTTTTCCACAGAGTGTTTTTATTTGAAAATTTGGCCTAATGTATTTATTCTGTTTTTCGCATTGTTGATTTTCTAAAAGTTTTACAGTGTTTGTTTGAAAGTTTATGTAATGTTCATTTTCATAATTTAACTGCAACATTGCGATCTTTTTGCTTTGTGGCGACTTGAACAATCACTTCAAAGTGAATTTTAAAATTATATTATGTGTTGGTTCTTAGAATGTGATTGTAATTTCTGTAAGATGTTTAATGGTTTTATTTGAATAAATGTTAAAAATTATGGTTTAAATGGCCAAGGAGTTAAAGTGTTTTAGATATATTGTTTTTTTAATAGGTTTTTTTTTTCTATTATGTGCCCGGTAAAGTTTTATTAGTGATAATTTTTAATGTGTAATTATTGTGGAGTAAATATTAGTTTTCATCTGATGTCGATTATTAAAATTGTAGGAGATCGTGGATATTGATTTCAGTGTATATATCATGTATCCAAATTTGTTGTTAAATTTTTTTTTGTAGAAGGGAAGTGTTGACCTTTAGGATAATTATCTGCTAAATTGAAATAGTTACTCTGTGTATTTGTTTAAGTTTCAAGGAGGAGACTGTAATATATTGTGATAAATGTAGGTAGGTTTGTATAACCTACCGTCAATTGATTTGAAATAAATCAGTCCCAAACCAACCGCCGCCCGTTTCATTACGACCTTTACACTTACCTTAATAGATGTACCATATTTGGGGTAGACAGAGGATGACAACTGGTACGTTTTAACCATAGCACCATAGTAGTCGATGCGGGATTTCCCATTTTTACCGTCAAACCTGTAATCAAGGAGTTTTAGAATCATCATCTCCCCAGCCTTATCCTCCTCCCGTAGTGTCGGCGCACCGGGTTTTTGTCCTCCAAATAACTCTATCATCCGTCGTCAGTCATCACTCGCTTCTTGATCATGTCACCTTTCACGCAATAATAATTTAATAACGAAATTACTAGAACATCCGTATACTTGTAGTTTTAATATTAAGAGTCTTGTTTTTACATTTTAATAGATATAGCCCGCGGCTTTGACAGAGTGGAATTAAAAAAAATAAGAATCATAGCCTATGTTACTCACTGATGACGTAGTTATTAATAGCGAAAATTTTTTTTTTAAATCGGCCTAGTCGTTTATGAGTTATTTCATTACAAAAAAAAATTTTTTCTCTTTTTAATATTAGTGTAGTTCAGCCTTATGAACTCTATCTTTAGAAATACATCTTATTTACAACATTAGACCTGAAAAATAGATTTTTCAATACCCAATGTTTTATTAAAATCGGCTTTAATAGGTAGACTAAACTAATGTTTTTGAGTTATTTCAATACATACAAAAGTACAAATCCTTCCTCTTTATAAAATACGAGCTGTTGCCCGCGACTTCGTCCGCGTGGTATTAGAAAACATACGAACTATATAAATAACAAAAAGCTACATATCCCTCGGGAACCGGACATTTCTTGGGAATAAACCTCATCCCATGTGTACTCCAGACTTTGTTTTATATCTGTGCCAAATTTCAATACTATATGTTGAACCGTTGCAGAATGATCGAGTAAACATTAAAAAACTAAATTAATAAATCCCACAGGAACCGTCACTATTCCCGGGATAAAAAGT